AGGGGGGGGGGGGAAACAACTGTTCGTACACGTATTTGAGTGATTGAAGTAGTTGTAAGATGTTTTACATGTGGTCTGGCACATGTGCCAATGACCTCTAGATAAACTTATGCAACTTACATACCCGTATCAGATATTATTGGGGGTTTCCCATGAGAAGAGTTCCTTTGTTTGTTAACTCATTCACCCCTACATATTTAAACTGGACTTGCCCAGTCTTTCATTTCGTAAGGTTCAAATGTGACTTTAGGGGTGAATAGGTTAACCAAGTTTGTCATATGGTCCTACGGGTATTTCCTTAATACGAAATACAATTCTTTGACAGTAATAACAATATTTCATTTATGAAATTAGATCACACAACATTGGTTGGAACAGTTTTTGTCATAAAACAAAATAAGCATCATGCAAAAGATAAACATTATAAAATTCTATGGGGGGGGGGGGGGGGGGAATGATGAAAAATGAAGGTATTCGGGGGGATAGGAGGAGGGTGAAGCTTGGGATGAGATGTGGGGTCTCCAAACCCAGTTTATCCTGCAGTACACTCCCCCACATACATAAAAGTAGCTATACGTGCATTTTGTTTTCATTCCATCTTCCTCTTTCTTGTTCTCATCCTAAATGTTTGAGATAAAACAGGAAGAACGAAGTAAAAAAGCATGTAATTAAATAATGTGCTTCAGTCTTTAGAGCGATACATTACCTTCAAAGGTTACCATGGCAACATCATCTGGTATTTTTCAAAATCTTACACAAATATAAGAAGCATGCCACTGACTTAGATGCAGGGACATCAGGTTGCATGTCTATACCTTACTACCTAGGGCAATATATTACATGCTCCAGATTTTACATATTTCAGTATTACTAATTACTTTAAGGGTTTGAATGGACATATTTTTATTTTATTTAATTATTATATACATATATACAGTAAAACCTCATTATAATGGCCCTCTGTCATCTACCACCTCGTTTACCGCCAACATATTCCAATGACCCTTTTTTTCTGTTTTCTTAAGAATTCCTTTATACACTAACCTCAATTTATCGCCAAACTTCTTTATAATGCCACTATTTCTCTAGACAAATGGTGGCAGTATATAACGAGGATTTACAGTATTTTAGTTTCATTACTTCAAAACAGCCATCTTATGACGTTTTTTCTGATGAGGTCATTTCCGTTAAAGGGTTTCCGATTTCAGAGTTGGGGTTATTTCCGTTAAAGGGATTCCGATTTCAGAGTTGGGGTCATTTCCGTTAAAGGGATTCTGATTTCAGGGTTGGGGATACTTCTGTTAAAGGGATTCTGATTTCAGGGTTGGGGATATTTCTGTTAAAGGGATTCCGATTTCAGGGTTGGGGATATTTCTGTTAAAGGGATTTCAATTTCAGGGTTGGGGATATTTCTATTGAAGGAATTCTGATTTCAGGGTTGGGGTCATTTCTGTTAAAGGGATTCCGATTTCAGAGATGGGGGATACTTCTGTTAACTCATTCATCCCTACATTTATAACTTGGACTTGCCCAGTCTTTGATTTGGTAAGATTAAATGTGACTGTAGGGGATGAATGGGTTAAGGGATTCACATTTCAGGGTTGGGGTTATTTCTGTTAAAGGGATTCGGATTTCAGAGTTAGGGTTAACAGAGGTCTAAAGAACATGCTTTACAACAGCAGTGTTTTGTGATTCAGACTTCAAACTGATGCTGATAAGATCCAAAGTACAGTTTTTTGGATTTCCCCTAACATACCAATCCTGATAATAAGCCAGACATATTTATGTCTCAGACTGTTTCGGCAGATAATACTGGGTTATGTAAGATTCTCAAGTAAACTGTCCTACACAAAAAATTGTGAATTTTGACTTACAATCGCCATGTTGGAAAGCAAGCTTGCTATTGAGTTAATATTCTTGATATCATTTGTTAATTTGATATAAAAAAAAAAAAAAAATCTCAATTCGTTTAGTCATGTTTCCATCAGCTGCAACTGTGTTTGAAATATTTCATGGAGCAAACCACTTCTAGCTCCTTAAATGGAAGACTGTTTTGAAACATTGAGTGATGCCACTCCTAAAACAATCCTCCATTCACAATAATCATACACTCTCCGCCCAGTAAGTTACCAAACATCTGTCGTCTCAGTTCCCTGGTGATAAGATACACTTTCATTTCGCCGATATGCAGGATAGAAAGCTACATATACTTCCCATTTGAAGAGGTAACCACAAGTCTGTAGTGAAGAGGTCTGTCTAATCACTGGAATGTAACATGCCCCCATGTAACAACATGCAGACGTGAGCTCCTTCACTGTAGTAAGTTGGCACAGACATGTGTGTGTGTGCGCGCCCGTGAGGCACACCAAAACACGTTCTCTCATTGAAATTATTTGTCAACACTTTTCAGGGGCATGGTGATTTAGTTTTAATTAAAATTCCTGAAGGAGCAAAAAGATATTTTAGGAAGTGTTGGATAAATGTGTTATCTCTGTGACGAGGCTACGTGCCTGTCGGTATGCTGATGTGCTGTAATCATACTGTATGTGCAAGATTTTAGATTTCCTGGTCCAGTTCTGATAAACTGTGTTTGGTTTTTTGCTCCAGTATATTGGATACATCCAAACCGCTACCAGTTTTAGTTGATGGCAACAAAAATAGTATTTCTAAGTGGGGGGGGGGGGGGGCCTCTGTGCAAGGGTAATTGACACAAAAGCAAATTTGTACTTTGATATGAGTGACCCATCTAATTACAATTTCATTACTGACCATGTTGATTTGTCAATAGAGAGGTATTGCAGACCCTAACTTTGTTTTGAAGAAGAAGAAAAATATGAAAAGTAATTTTCTGTATGCATGATATATGCAAAAGTACAATGCTTTAGGGATTAGCATCGTCACAAATTTAATGAGCTTCCATTTTAATGGATAAGGTCAATGTCAAGTTTACCCTGATCTTTATATTTTTTTCCCTCTCTCTCTCTCTCTCTCTCTATCTCTCTCTCTCTCTCTCTCTAAACATGTAACATTATGTCGGGCCTGTTTCATGAATAATGTGATAGTGTCATTTGTTACATCAACAGAAACTGTAATTACTTTGAATTAAAGTGATAAAGTCAATATTCCTTTTTTCTGCCATTTTAATTATGAATTAATTGTCTGTTTTGTTCCTTTCAGGTAGCAACTCCAGTCTTTCCAGTATGGAAATAGACTTGGACGATATAGGTGAGTCACAATGATCTGGACAACACAATGTAGGTCCTATTTGAATTATCTGACTAAATAAAAAATATATCTGAGGCCAGTTTTATGTGTTAATGGTAACAATTTAAGGACCCCTTTCCCACTGCGCTGCCGTTTTTCCTATTTACAGTAACCTCCCCTTGACTTTCGTTTTAATATAAGTGTAGCTCATTTGGGCTCCTACACTTCTGTTGTCGAGGAAGCTCAATCGGTTTCAGCAATTATATAACAACCTGAAGTCCAAGGTTCGAATCCCAGTCCGGCCCCACAGATTATTTTACACTCAGAACACGTTTGTTGATTATATTTTGATTATCTAATCTCCATTATGTTTTCATAAAAGTCCCACAAAGTATACTTTTCTTTTCAAAATTGATTTATCAAAGCTATAATCAAACCGGAAAAAATAGTTTTGAAGTCATAGTTTCATTGTTTGACATTGGTACGGGGATCTTTTACATAATAGGAGGAGTTTACCCCGGGTAGTAACTATACATTCATCAACATGTTAGCCATAGTTTATACATTTTTTATCTTTCGGTGATATATCAGAGTCATTAGTCTGTTGATTGTTGATCGATGTATCAAATATCACTATTTTCTATTTGCAGACTTCAGTCAAATTCCAGGGTACACCCCAATCAATTCCTCAGTACCTAACTGGAAGAAAGATATGGTGGAAAAGAAAAATAGAGAAAAATTAGATGAATATTTGGTAAGTACACAAGCAGGAAACCAAGAAGGATAAAAGTTAAAATTCTAGTTCATTATGTAAAAAATCCAAAAAATTATGTAAGGTGCTTGGGGATGAAATAATAGCTATTTAATAAAGAAAAATGTCATTTTAATGTTAATTTTTATGTCTTTCTTTGGGTTTCCGAATACATGATTGGCTCAATAGTCACTTCTGATGGTAAACAGCAATGAGATATAGCAAGTCCACTCTCACCTCGAACCTGTACAGGCTACAAACTTACAGAAATTGCAATGGTAGAAAAAGCAGTACTGTATACTGTGAAATTTTCATTTAATCAAACTTTCAGCCCAGTTTCAATTTCGCCCTTTACATGTTTACTAATGTTGGCTGTAATGATGAATCGCCCTCAATACGGCGGGCAAAAATTATACTATAGTAAAAAATGTTCGGGCATGAATTGTGTGTACTAGCTGAATTTCTTGTCCCTTATAAAATGACAAAAAAATCTTATTTTCCCAATGATTTGGAAAAATATTGAACTTTGAATATTGAAAAAATTGGTTTGAGCACAGAATCCATGCTTGAGCATGAGGAACGGATTCATGAATACAGGCCCAAAATCTAGCTGCAGATGGTGTGAGAGTTACCTCCCCTGAGGTTCTCTTGCATGGTAGGGTCAGGGATGGGACCATAAATCTAGCGTAAAGCCCATGAATTAGTGATGACCTGCCTAATGAGATGGAGGCTCTGTCGGGAGGATGTTTATTGCTAGAGATTAGTGTGGCTATAACACATAAACAAAGTTGTTGCCAACTAAACAACCTGCCTTAGACTTGATATGATGCAGTATTTAGGGTTTTGTTGATTGCTATATAAAAAAAAAACACAGAATCACAGAGAGTACATGACACTACATCTAATTTACTATTGTGCCTGAATTAGTGACGTAATTATTTGTGGAATTTTAACTTGGGTTAATGTTTTTCTGCGTCCAGTTATCTAATTTCTTTACGTTCATAGACAAAAATTAACATACATCTTGTTTTTTGAGAATGAGACAAATTAAAGAAGGGGCTTAATTACAGGCAACCACCCTGTTCCCAGGACTTTTGCCAAAGTGGGGAGGGGGCTTATTTGCGGTCAAATACGGTAGATTATCAGATTATATGTATTACATTTCTACCAACTTTCACGATACAGTTAATCGCGTTCACTTTCGTTTCTTGCAGTTGTTCTCGTCTTTTGGTTAGCTCATAACAAACAGCAGATGAACATTATTTATGTCTGAGTAAATACTAGGGAGAAATGCCTCATAGATTCCTGTGGAGTAAAGATAAAAGATGGTTCTCAAAGTACCGTATTTATCCGGCAATAAGCCCATACTTGGTAATAAGCCCACCAATATATATTGCAGTTAAGATGAAACGCCAGCAAAAGTTTTTTCTTTGTCCTGTAATAAGCCCACCCCCAACTTTCAGTCAGAGATTATGTGTTGTCCTGTAATAAGCCCATCTCCCTACTATCAGTCAGAGATTATGTGTTGTCCTGTTATAAGCCCACCCCCTACTTTCAGTCAGAGATTATGTGTTGTCCTGTAATAAGCCCACCCCCTACTTTCAGTCAGAGAATATGTCTTGTCCTGTAATAAGCTAGATCCCTACTTTCAGTCAGATTATTTCTTGTCCTGTAATAAGCTAGATCCCTACTTTCAGTCAGAGATTATGTGTTGTCCTGTAATAAGCCCATCCCCTACTATCAGTCAGAGATTATGTGTTGTCCTGTAATAAGCCCCCCACCGCCTACTATCAGTCAGAGATTATGTGTTGTCCTGTTATAAGCCCACCCCCTACTTTCAGTAAGAGATTATGTGTTGTCCTGTAATAAGCCCCCCCCCTACTTTCAGTCAGAGAATATGTGTTGTCCTGTAATAAGCCCACCACCTACTTTCAGTCAGAGATTATGTGTTGTCCTGTAATAAGCCCACCACCGCCTACTATCAGTCAGAGATTATGTGTTGTCCTGTAATAAGCCCACCACCCCCTACTATCAGTCAGAGATTATTTGTTGGCCCCCTGGGCTTATTGCGGGATGAATAGGTAAATAGAAAGATTTTCAAGATCACAATGACGTGTTTGTTTATGGAAAAATATTTCCAGTTTTTACACCATGTTTCATCTAAGCTAATGGTTTATAGAACGAGAAGGTTTTCCTCTGACCGTCTGTTGATATGGGACCAGGTCAGAGGTCAAAAAAGACTTTTTGGGGGGTGATAGATATATGTTTCAGAAAAAAGGATTTTCATGCAATTTTAGACCATCAGTAACCTCATATCATCAAATTGTTATAATTTCCCTATTTTTTGGCATCATTCTATATTTTTTCCATTTAAGAATGAAATAAGAAGACGGAAAGCTGAAGAAGAAAAATGGAAAAATGTACCAGAGTGGAAGAGAAAATTATTAGTTGAAAAAGACAAATTGAAAAGGGAAGAGGATGAAATGAAAACAACTGCAGTATGTACACATCTGTTCCTTATTGACCTTAGAGCATGCACAATAACCCCATAAAGTCACCAGGCCTACGAAATATGTTGTTTTGTATTTAATATTGACTTCAGTGGCACTTGTTGTCAGTGATTTTTGTGTTCGTTAGTTTTTCCATGTGATAACTGTTATATAATTATATAGTGTTCTGTAACTTTCTGTATGTTTTCTTACTACATGTTAAAGTATTTTTCATAACTGTTCATGTTTACAGAAATAACTGTTTGATTCTCTGGTTATATTTGTTGTGAGATATTGATATGTAATGTGACGACTAACAGCTGATCTCTCTGGTTTTCTTTCCTTCATCAGGCATTAAGGGTAAGCCTTTGTTAAGGAAGGCGATGTGTATTCCTTTCTTCATCACTCTGTCACTCTCACCTCCTTATAATCGCTAAATGTCAGCAACTATATGTTGCTGAATGCATTCACCATATATTGAAAGTCCCTGTGCTATATCGCTGTATGTTGTTCAAGCTCTTCCTGTTAAATCAGCACCATATCACACAATACAAGCTTTCTGATGACTGTCCAAGCTTGTAAAGCATGAGTTATACTGGTCGAATATCCTACAATACAAGCTTTCTGATGACTGTCCAAGCTTGTAAAGCATGAGTTATACTGGTTGAATATCATACAATACAAGCTTTCTGATGACTGTTTAAAATAAAAACATGGCTTACACTGGTCACTTCTCATCCAATACAACCTTTATGATGACTGTCAATTCTTGTAATGCATGACTTCAACATGTCACGTCTCATTCAATACAAGCTTGTTGATGACTGTCATTATAATACTTGTAAGCATGACTATATATGTTCTGAAGAGACTGATCAGACTTGAGAATGTTTCTACACATCCATATTGTCTACTACTTCAGTGTATGATATAACCTTTCTGCATCATCAATATTGTCTCATTGTGTTCACTTATCATTATCATCATTTTATTATGTCCCCGTCATAAAATGGTAGGGGGCATATAGTGTTGCCCATATGTCCGTCCCGTCTCATCTCATCCCATTCCATTCCATAATGTCGCGATTTAATGTAAACACACTAGCAACTTCATTCTTCGATGGATTTTTATCAAACTTTAAACAAAGATCAAGTATGAGAATACATGTGACATCTCAGTGTTGATGTTATATGTTATCAAATATGCATCAGGAACTGTGAAGCCTTTATCCGGTACTGTACTTCGTATACAGCTTCAGTTTCACCAGGATGATGCTTATTAGTTGATGCTTATGATAAAAACTTCTTTGGATTGTGGAGAACAAGGGTGCAATTCACTCAATGTTTCAGATTGTCATCTTACTGCTATTGGTCAACAACTAGACTAAATATATCATCTAAATCATTTGTCATCAAATATGGTTGTCATTCATTCATCACAAGAGATAGTATCTGCATGACAATGCTCTTTACCTCTGCCTTCTTTCTCTCTCAAATTCACCAGAAAACATCTTTAATTCATCGTCTTATTATAAGTAATCCAGTGGGAAAATATTTGCTTTATTTGAATAGAATTAAGAAAGACATTAAATACTTCAGTCATTTTTAGCTCACCTGGCACGAAGTGCCAAGTGAGCTTATGCCATGGCGCGGCGTCCGGCGTCCGGCGTCCGGCGTCAATATTTTACTTTAAACGACTTCTTCTTAATAACCGAAAGGCCTAGGGTGTCAATATTTGGCCAGAAGCAAACTTGGATGAAGGGCTACAAAGTTTGTTCAAATAAATGACCTTCACCTATTTTCAAGGTCACAGGGGTCAAATATGTCAAAAACTTTAAACATCTTCTTCTCAATAACCAAAATGCCCAGGGAGATGATATTTGGCCAGTAGCATGCTTGGGTGAAGGGCTACCAAGTTTGTTCAAATGAATGACCTTCAATTATATTCAAGGTCACAGGGGTCAATTGTATTAAAAAAC